TTTAGAAAAATCTTCTTTATCGAGGTCGATCAAGTTCCTCGACGTGTTTCACTGCCCCTTAAGGTGAAGTGAAACCTCTTTCAAATCAGTCGATTCGAATACAACACTTTTCTTTAAGGGTATTAGACCAAACTGTCCGAAACTTTGACACGTCAATCCTGATCGTCTATGAATTGTCCTGGCACATTGAAAATTTGAATTTTTGGAATACATTTTTTAACTCAGCCCAGACCAGAACCAAAATGGCGTCGAGCTCTTATATTTCGATCAATATACACTTATCGAAGGCTCTGATATGAGAAACGAAAGGGTCAGGACAATTTTACGACAATTTAGAATACTCTGGTAGTAGATAACCTCGCATTTGAACGGGATAAAGGCAAAAAACGTGTTGTATGCACTTCTATGCTAAAACGATAGGAATTCGAGGTCTCGGAGTGAAAATTTAATTGACCTGCAAATCACAGATGGCGCAGGGGTCCCTCTGCAGTCAATTACGGCCCCAGAAAGCATGAATCCATAGGATTTCTGGAGTTTTACTTAGATTTATTTATAATTATTGTACTAAAACGACAGGTGGAATATGCCATTTGGTACAATACCCAATATAATTCGACCCAGCTGTCAATGTAAAAACAAATGTCGGCAACGTAAGCATTTAGAAAAATCTTCTTTATCGACGTCGATCAAGTTCCTCGGCGTCTTTCACTTCACCTTGATACGGTGCATCTCGATCTGGAAGCTTCTTGAAAGCCAACTTTGATGTCATTACCGAGCAGCAGCGAGAGCGTCGCTAAAGCGTATAGCGAAACGGTGTAATTCAGTAGAATATTACGAAGTGTCGGTACAAGAGGTTGTTTCATTACCGATGTCATTAGCGAGTGCGTAACCAACTGCATGGACCGTTTACCGACACCGCATTCACTTGCTCCGAGTTTCCACTTACAACACCCGATAGCGATCGATTCGTTTGAAGAGCCAATCTTATATAACAACCACCTCGTACACCGGTTGACGAAACAACTTATGTTCAGGCGAGAAACGCTCCAACGTCGACGCACCAATGAAGTAACACAAAATGCAGGGGCTTTAAATTTAACTTTATTCAACTTCAGAATCCGAACGAAATGCATTTACGTAGAAAAAAGGGAAATAAATTATCGATACATGTCGGGTTTTAACCGTTTGAGTCCCAAGCAGCGCGATCGCGCTGTTCAGATTTTATGTCGAGAAAACCCAACACATTTCGAGCGTTGTGGACAACTAGCAGTGCGTCACCGATTGTCGAAGTCGCGCGCTCAGATTTACTGACCCAAGTACATCTCCTTCTTTTAAGGTGATGTGAAACACCCTTCAAATCAGTCGATTCGAATACAACACTCTTTTTTAAGGGTATTAGACCAAACTGTCCGAAACTTTGACGCATCACTCCTGATCATCTAAGAATTGTCCTGACACATTCAAAATTTGGATTTTTTAACAAAATTTTTTAACTCAGCCCAGACCAGAACCAAAATGGCGTCAAGCTCTCATATTTCGATCAATATACAATTATTGAAGGCTCTGATATGAGAATCGAAAGGGTCAGGACAATTTTACGACAATTTAGAACAGTCTGGTAATCGATAAACACGCATTTGAACGGGATAAAGGCAAAAAAAGTGTCTTATGCGCTTCTATGCTAAAACGATGGGAATATGAGGTCTCGGAGAGAAAATTTAATTGACCTGGAAATTACGAATGGCACAGGGGGTCCTTCTGCAATTAATTAGGGCCCCAGAAAGCATGAATCCAGAGGATTTCTGGAGTTTTACTTCGATTT